AAATTCTAAATTTGAATACCCTTTGACCAGCAATTTCACCTTGGGGAATTTATGCTCAAAAAACAAAACAAAACAAAACAAAAAAAACCCATAAGTACTAGCATCTCAGGTTAGATAAGCAGCAATGTTTGTAGATACAATGGATACAATCGGAATATTCCCAACAGGAGAATAACTGAATAAATTGTAATAATTCATACTGTGGACTTTAACGCAGTCATTACAAATAATGGGGATAATAATAATAATGGGTTACAGCTGGGAATATTTATTATATACGAAACTTAAAAAGTCATGCAGTATGGTCTGTGGTGTAATCTTTTTGTAAATTTTTTTAAAAGCAAAGAAACATATGCCACACATATACATTAATTCTAATGCTTTTGTGATTCTATAGGAAGCATGGAAGGATCCCATTACCCAACACTGGTACAGTGGGTCCAGAATTGGGATAGATGGAGGCATTGTTATCATGTTTTCTTTGTTACACTTCTATGTTTCAGTTATTGCAACAAGAGTATATTACTTTTGAAGTATGAAAAAATTCAACAGTGTTGGTATCACAGAAAAAAAAAATACACATACACACACATACAATACGCAGTCACACAGTCGGCTCCCAATGACTATGTCTTCATCAATGTATGGTCATGTGCATAATTCACAACGTGAATTTGCCTCTGATGTCCTGGGCCTTATAAAATTTTCAAAGAAACATAAGAAAGCTGCTCTGCTAAAGGACAACTATTCAAGACCTAGCTCCATGAGGCTCCTAAACTGTTCATACAGATGGTCATCTCTCAAAATGCACCAGGCATTCATCCACGAGGGAGACCAATCCACCTCCCAGCTCCTAGCTGGGTGGCAAGGACCCAGGCAGCAACACCATTTGAAGGTGGTCTTTGGATGCTAAAATAGCAACTGCTCCCTCTGGCCAGACCTGCTGCCCCCCAACCCCTCCCACCACTTCCACTCCCTGCCTATCTTCAACTTGGCCAAGGTGCTCCCTGAACCTTACATATCCTTCCCAAAGGCAACGCCTCTCCATGTTTTTCTTGAATGTTCACCTCTGCATGCACGTTTTGTGTTTTTCCTTAAAAAAACAGGGGTATGACCTCCTTGAGGAGATTTACATTTGATTCTTGACTATGGTGCCTTATTCTATCCTTTTTGCCTCTGCTTAAGGGGGACAGTTTAAGTCTAAGGGCTAGAAGTATGGCCTCTGGGGTCAGAGCAACCAACTACAAACCTGACCGTAGCTGTTTAGCTGGGCAACCTTGAGCAAGTGTGATGGTTAATTTCATGTGTCCACTTGACTGGGCGAGAGGATGCCCAGAGAGCTGGTAAAACATAACTTCTGGGTGTTTCTGGGAGGATACCTCTGGAGGAGGTTAGCATTTGCATCAGTAAACTGAATAAAGAAGACTGCCCTCACCAAGGAGAACAGGCATCATCCAGTCCTTTGAGGGCCTGGATTGAAAAAAAGGCAGAGGAAGGGTGAATTTGCACCCTCCAACTAAGCTGGGACATCTATCTTCTCCTGCCTTGAGATACCACTGATAGGGCCAATTTAACGTTAAAACCTGTTATACCCCTAGGGCCTGCCTGGACCTACTTAGCCATAGTGACTCCCTGTTGCCTAGGTAGCCATTTTGTTGTTTAATAAATGCCTCAGCAGTTACTGATACCGGTTCTGGGTAACCATTGCTAAAACACATACCTAAAACAAGGCCATTTTGTTGTTTAATAAACGCCTCAGCAGTTACTAGTATCGGATCCGGATAACCGTTACTAAAACACATAGGTAGGAGACAACCAATCAGCCAAAGCCACATATGTAGATGTCTGCGGTTGTGCCCTATAAAACTAGCCTGCAAGACCAAGGGGCATCGCTCTCTTCAGAGGCGGCCCTGGCTGGTCAGTCTGATTTCTAATGCTTGGCATAGAATAAAACTTTACATAACTTTCACTTTGTCTCAGTCTCATTCCCCTGGCCGGTCAGTCTAACTTCTAATGCTTGGCATATAATAAGGCTTTGCATAACTTTCACTTTGTCTCAGTCTCGTTCCTTAGATAACGGACCCAACACCACCACTCCTGGTTCTCAGACTTTCAGACTCCCACCGGGAATTACACAATTGGCCCCTTGGTTCTTAGCCCTTTGGATTCAGACTGAATTATATCACCAGTTTCCCTGGTTCTCCAGCTTGGAGATGGCAAAATCATGGGATCTCTTGGCTTCCATGTTAGCCTCGAGTAAATGAATGAACGGATGAATGAGCAAGCTATTGGTTCTTTCTCTGGAGAACCCTGTCTAATACAGCAAGTTACTTACTCCCCCTCCATCTCAATGTTCCCAGCAGAAGCTACCAAGACTTCTTACGGCTTAGGCCCAGGCCTGAGACTGCCTCTGGTCCTCAGGATTCTACTGGCCAAGGCAAGTAGGAAACCCAGTCCAAATTCAAGTGGAGGGATCCACACAAGAGTGTGGGCACCAAGGGCCACAGATTAAATGTGCTATCCCACTGCATAAAACAGTTTAACATCTGGCACAAAGTACGTGTTCAAAAAATGTGAGCTCTTTTTCATTTGCATTATTTTCTCTTCAGTAGAGAGGAGTTATTTTTACAGTGATTCTTTGCTATGAACAAACCCCAGAGAAGGCCTAGAAATCTAGAGATTGTTAGAGCCCTCACATTTCATTACAGAAGATGCAGCGAAGCTAGAATGTGGCCATAACCCCATAGGGTAGATTTCAGAATAAAGCCAGAGACCCGAGTCACCATTCTGAAACGAAAAATATCCTTGCGGGCCAGTTTCCAGGTCTTAGGGGACAGGTATATATATATGGGAAAGGGCCAACGTTACCACCCACAGCCAAGCTAACATGCAAACGTGTCCCAACATAACAGGAACCAACCACCATTTCTGCAGAGGGCAAAGTCAGGATGTGAAAAATGGTGTATATTCTGTATTAAAAGAATTATAAAGGTGCTGTGGCAGATTAAGTTTGAAGAAAGAAAACATGGCAACGAGAAAGTGGATATAAGGGGATAGAGTAGGAAATAGAGAAGTTACCCTAAAATCTCAAAAACATAAGCAGAATTTGTTATGTCCATTGTTGTCCCCAGACCCTAGAGGAACGCCTGCACATACCAGATATTGGCAGAATTACTCTGAATCGGGGGACGTTAAAACTCATAGGTTACACTTGTTGAAAGGAATAACGCTGAAAATGAAAAGTGAATTACTGTTTTGCAGTTTACCCCTTCAAACTAAAATGGAGTCAATGTATATTTTTCACACAGTTTTTCTACTGTGTGGAGGTAATGTCTTCCCTTTTAGGTTTATTGTTAAAAGGCAGCTGTTTTTCAATGCCTTTGGGGAGTACCAAAAATCATAGCTAAGGCTAAATGGTAGAAAGGCAGGTTCAGGGAGGAGCCAGGAAGTGAAGCTAATTTACCAGTCTGCCACCTGTAGGCTGGTTCCAGCAGACATAAACATCAGTGCCCACAAAACAGATGACATGAAAATAATGCATATTAAATAATGCTAAAAACTGAGCAACAGATGTGTGAAAACTATATATAGTGGTCCATTTGAATCATGGCTCCCCCGTTCCTGCCTCAAATGTCCTCTCTCTGATTTAAACACCCGGAGCTGTGGCCACACATACTGTTGTTCCTAATCAGCTCTCCAAGACTCACCCATGGTCTGAAATAAGCTTTGGAAATTAATACCCCCATTAGGATGAAGGACCGCACCTGTATGGATCAGGGTGTCACAGAATCAGTTTCAGATCTCATTTCAAAAGCCATGCAATGGGCTTGGACAACAGAGGCCATTACAAAAGAACAACAACGTGAAAAACCAAAGCTGGACAGAATTACTAAATTTCAACATTCAAGAACAAACACCAAACATTCATTACAAGGGCTTAGTTTGGATTTCTGGAAAAGGAATTAAAACATACTGAGTTAACAGTTTAAGCCTGTAAGATGTACTTCAGCACCATAAACCAAATGTAGTTACAGATGTCAGGACTTCTCAGAACAAGTGCTTCTCTTTATAAATGTCTGCTCTCCATGTATTTTTTCCGTTTCCATATGTCCACTCTTTATCAATATAAGGAAAGCACAACTTTCATCAAAAGACTACAAATCCCCCCCCCCCAATTAATTCTTGGGGACAGTCGCTTCCATGTAAGAGAGATCTCCCGGTGGCTTTCTCCTACGGAGGCTTGTTAGTCCCTGGCTTCTCTAATTTGAGGGTCAACAGCCTGAAAATCGGTCACCGTTGAGGTGTGGAGCTCAGAAAACTCGCCCCCGGACGCGGATTTCGGGTCTCCTGCCCAGTCCCGCCGCGCACAAACCTTTCCGGACGCACGCGGGAAATGCCAAGTCCACGACGCCAAGTCTGGAAGTGGCCGCAGGGGGACCGGCCGGTCCGCGCCGGGGCTGACCCACAGCAGGATCCGACGCGCCCGGTGGCCCCAGCCCCTAGTTCCCGCCGCCGCGCAGGCGACACGCGCGCGGAGTCGCAGCCCCGCACCCGAATCCGGGCCCTCGTCCCCGCCTCGGTCAGGGCCTCCTGGCTGCTAAGTCTGTACCGAGCCGGGCCAGGGCGAGTCGCGGGTCCCCAGCGCGCAGAGTCCCTGAGGGCCCAGTGCAGACCCAGCGGCCGGACGCGCACCCGCTGCCCACCCCTCAGCCGGCGGTCCCCCGGGACGCTGCAGGCTCGGCGGAGGGCGGGAGCCTGGCTTCGGTTTCCTCCAAGAAAAGTAACTCGGGGATCAGCGCTATAGGAAAGGGAAAGCGATGCTCTGAGAGCGGTGAGTAAGGTCCCCGGAGTATTCAGCCCGGAGTTTTCTGAACTGCACCCCGCGCTGCAGCAGCTCGGCCCCGGCGTTCGCGCCCCGAACTTGGAGCCCGCGGTGCCGTCCCGGGCGGGCTGCAGCCCTGGGGCCCGGCGCACCTCCCCGCCCTGCCGCAGACACTCACCGAGAAGCCGGCCCAGAAGGGGCAGGAGTGGCGGACGCGGGCCGAGGTGGTGAGCGCCAGCGCGGCGAAGCTGACGGCCACGATGAGGCATCCGAGCGCCATCTGCGTGGCCCCGAGCGCCAGCACGATGCGGGAGCGGCCCGGGCACTCGCGCAAGCGGGACAGGCTGCGGGGCAGCGCGGCGGGGCGCGGCGCGCGGGGACCGCCGGCCCGAGGCATCGCGCCGGGCGCCCGCACGCCTCGCCCCGCTCCCGCCCGGCCCCGGCGCGCGCCGCCGCCGCCGCTGCCTCTCCTCACAGAGGGTCCGAGGCAAGTTGCGCCGGGCGAGGGGACGGCCTTCCCGCGGGTCGCGGGCGCTGCGGCGGCCGCGCGCCGGGAGCGGGCCGGGCCGGGCGGGAAGCCGGACACCGGCTGCCCCTGCCCGTGCCCGCGCCCATGCCGCCGCCGCCGCTCCGCAGGGCTGCCCGCCCGCCGCCGGCCGCGCAGCGCTGCGCCCTCTCCCGCCCGCCCCGCGCGTTCCCCGCCCGAGCGCGGGCGCGAGCTACCGCGTGCCGGGGGCGAGCCGCCGCCGTCCCCGGGCGCGAGCCCCACCGCCGCGCGCCGGGCTGGGGCCGGGGCCGGAGCGCGAACCGGGAGCGGGCGGGTGCAGGTGCAGTCCCCGCGGCCCGGCCTCGGTGCTCTCGCCTGCCACGCGGGACGGCACTAGGGACCGCAGACGCTTCAAGGTCGAGGGCAGCAGCCTCCGAGGCCGAACCCGCGGTGGGCGGGAGCGGGGGCCCGAGGGCAGGCCGAGTCACTGGGACGGAGCCGCCGGCCGAGCCTGGGGCCAGCCCGGGATGAGCGCTTTCCGAGGCGGAAGTGGGGCGAGGGGGACACTGCGCGTCCAGGCGGGGAGGTGAAATCCAAGTGCGCGGCCCCAGGTGTGGCGCGCCGCAGCCTCTAACGAATGCGGAATTCCAAGATCCAAGATGCCGCTTTCTGCAGTTCCGCAATTTCCCAAGCCATCCTCTGAGAACTGGGCCCGGGAGGTGTCGGCATTTAAACCTCCCCGGTTCACAGACGGATGTTTCTTACTCACCTTTAGTTTGCAGGGCTTTTGATACAAGTGAAAAGTTTAGGCTTAAATCGCACCGAACGAATTTAAATGAGCGATGGCATTAAGGACCCATTAACTCATCCCTACTCCCTTTAGCCAGCATAAGGTTTTAAATTGGTTATCGGCTTCTCTGAGGTACCAAGAAAACTTGGAAGTTTGGATTGTCACAGTTCTCTTTGTGGCCCTACTGATGTGACTTTAAGACCACTGGTGTTGAAAAAGACTGTTATTAAGAGACCCGCGAGTGTTGAGAAATCTAAAGGGACCGGACACAAAAAGGCAACGTTCAGGCTAAGAAAGGGCAATGGTAGGTCATTCCCCCAGGCCATTTGTCCACTGTCGCATGGTGGAACTGAGGGAGTCCACCGCTGGATCCAAAACACTGGAGAGTAGCGCCCCCAGAACGTCTCAGTTGCTGGTGCTTGAAATTTCACCGTTAGAGATATTGATTCCTTTGGGGCTTGACGCGCCTCTATTAAAATGCAAATTCCTCTTGAAGGGGCAATAGCTCAAGCCTTTATCAGCCAACACCTTAGCAGGGATGGGATTTATTTTCCAATTTAAAGGGATGACCAAGGGATGAACTGGGGGTGGGGAATTCCACAGATAAAGTAGCTGACCTCAAAATGTTGGCTAGTGGCCAGACTCTGCCTTTTCCTCCAGTTTTTATCTGTAACATGGCTGAGCCTCAGGCTGGCATCATTTAGAGTACCAGAGTACAAATTCAAATTTCCTGGAGACATTCTCTATCTAGAAATTCTCAGGCAGCACTTTTTAAGGCCTTGGAACAATACCAAAGCCAGCTCCTGGACTGCCAGGAGGTTAGGTTCTCAACGGAATCACCTCCCTCCCTCCCTCACTCATTTATTTATTCCCCACAATAGTTTACAAAGGACTCTCTAAGCACCAGGCTCTCTTCGGCCCTTAAAGTAAGTACAGAAGTGAACAAAACAGACAAAACCCATGTCTTTTCGGTAGGAGAGAAACGGTACAATAAGCAGAACAAGTAAATTACACAGAGTTTATTGACATTATGTAGTACTCAAAAAATATGTTAAGCACTCACTGTGTGCTAGACACTGAAGATGTAAGGATTAGCAAAAGCAAACAAGCTAGAGAATGTTCAGTCTACTGGTTAAATTAACAATACACAGATAATTGCTCCAAGGCCAATTGTGGCCAGGCTCAGTGTGATGGAGAATTCTACATGGTGCCCAAAGCCAGCATCCTCTACAGAAAATGAATTGAGGGATGCCCGAGAGAATGTAGAGTTCACATGTTACTGCTGTCATCTAGGCAAGAAATGACAGTATTTGGGATGAAGGTAGAGATGGTGGAGATACTCAGAACTGGATAGATTTGAGACGTTTGGAGGTGTCCGCAATGAATTAAATGTAGACAAAATAAAGTGCGGTGCCAGTTGGGCCATCCTGGGGAGAGTACCGAATGGTAGATACCTCCCGTGAACTCCCATATGTGTATTAGATGTGCTTCCAAATATACATGTGAATCAATTCCTTCTAATTATAAATGGCATGGAAAGAGAGCTGTGGGCAGCACAGCAGAGGGTTTAGGTGTAGGTGGATTAGGAGAGGGATCTACCTTGTCTGTGAAATTTGATGTTGGGGCAGAGGGAAAGCCTGATCCAGAAGTTACAATTACTTAGCCATTTTAAAAATCATTTCTGTATTTTAGAGAATTTTAAAATTTGGTTGTATTAAATGTAATATCTGACTTGCTCTTGGTAAACAACTGGAATTTGGAGATATAAATAAAGTGAGTCAATTTCACGGAAGTGAATCATAAAGAAAGGAAGGATGGAAGGAAGGAGGGAGGGAGCTGGCTTAGCCCTAGCTCTGATCCTAACAACTCATTGATCCTCTTTGCTCCTCAGCGTTTTTCTTATAAAAGGCTGCATTGGGCGTGCCTGGGTGACTCAGTCGTTTGAGTGTCTGACTCTTGGTTTCTGCTCAAGTGGAGATCTCAGGGTCTTGGGATCAAGCCCCACATCCAGCTCTTCACTCACTGGGGAGTCTGCTTGGGATTTTCTCTCTCCCTCTGCCCCTCCCCCCTAAAATAAATAAATAAATCTTTTTTTAAAAAAATAAACAAAACGCTGCCATAATACATGTCCTAGAATTATGAGAGATTCTTGGAGTCACCTGGGACCAACTTATCGCAACTTTTTCTTCTTCCTAGATCAGATGACACTAATAGACTGAGACCATTGTTCTTAAGCATAGCATGACAAGGTGGCTGAGCTTTTACTGAAAGGTAGGCTGTATGCCTGCTTGCACCAACAGGAAGGTGAGTAACACAAATGCCTCACTTATAGTGCCCTTGTTCAAGTTTTTGCTCTTTTCAACATACCTCTCCAGCGATGGATGAAAAATAAATTTGTCCCTCCATACCATACAGCAGAAGAAAGTTCTACTTGGATTTCACAGTCTCCAACTCTGGAATAGTAAAAATCAGCAGAGAATCACTATTTCCAGGAAACTCAGGCTTGTAAATTTCCTGCTGAAGACAACTAAGAAGCCAGATGAAAAAATATTTTAGCTATCTTCTTAAAAGTATCGAGGAGGGGCACCTGGGTGGCTCAGTGGGTTAAGCCTCTGCCTTCGGCTCAGGTCGTGATCTCAGGGTCCTGGGATCGAGCCCCACATAGGGCTCTCTGCTCAGCGGGGAGCCTGCTTCCCCCTCTCTCTCTGCCTGCCTCTCTGCCTACTTGTGATCTCTCTCTGTCAAATAAATAAATAAAATCTTTAAAAAAAGTATCAAGGAGTTATAGAGATAATGGGGAAACACTAGACCAAGGTTCAAGAGGAGAAGGGATCAGAGAGGTGTGTGCACCACATTGGAATCTCCTGCCCTGGGCACTTGCATTTCTGGATTGGGCAGACAAACAGGGTTAGAAAGATAAATTTTGAGTCCAGGGCCCTCAAGAATAAGGACCCATTACACCAGTTCCCTGCTTTGTGCTGGAACCCCAGATAGTTGTACCCAGAGAATAAGGAATAAGCTAGTCTTTCCTCTAATTGCAGATGCCCAGAAATCCAGACCCTGAATTTGACTTAAGATAATCCTTCATTGCTGAGGCCATAAGGACCTGGCAAAAGCAATAACAAATCACCTCTGGAGAATGATAACATTAGCCCAGGCCTTACATTATTTCTATGAATAGCATCTTAAAAATTTGCTTTAACTTCCTCAACATGATAAATGACATTTATGAAAAACCCACAGCTAATACCATACTCAATGGTGAAAGACTGAACACTTTCCCTCAAGATCAGCAATGAAATAAAAATGTCTACATTCAACATTCCTATGCGACATTATACTAGAAATTCTAGCCAGAGCAATTATATAAGAAAAAGAAATAAAAGACATCCAAACTGGAAAGGAAGAATTAAAACTATCTCTGTTTGCAGGATGATATGATCCTGTATTTATAGAAAATCCTAAGGAATCCACAAGAAAGCTACTAGCAGTAATAAATTCAGCAAAGTTGTAGGATATAAGATCAACACACTAAAACCAGTGGTGTTTCTGCAGACTAGCAGTGAACAATCTGAAAAGCAAGGAAGCAATTCCATTTACAATAGCATCTAAAAGAAAAACACACCGTGGAAATTCAAGGAGATGAAAGACTTATACACTGAAAAGCACAAAATATTACTGAAAGAAATTAAAGACCTAAATAAATGGAAAGACATTGTGTTCATGGATAGGAAGACTTTATACTAAGATGTCAATATCCAAAGTGTACTGCAGATACAATGCAATCCATATTAAAATTCCAATAGAATTTTTTTTGCAGAAATGGAAAAGCCAGTCCTCAAATTCATATGGAATTGCAATGGCCCCAAATAGCCAGTCTTGAAAAAGAAGAAACAGTTGGAAAGACTCACACTTCCAGATTTAAAAACTTACTACAAAGCTATAATAATCAAAAGAGTATGATATAGACGTATGGATAGATAAACCATTAGAATAGAACGGAAGGTCTAGAAATAAATCCATCTATCTTAAGTCAACTGAGTTTTCACATGGGTTCAAGTCTACTCAATGGAGAAAGAATAGTCTGTTCAGCAGATAGAGCCAGGACAACTGGATTTTCACATGCAAAAGAAAG